CTGCTCCCAGCAAGCAACCATCAGTCCTGTCCTCCTTTCCAAGTCCCCACTCACTCCACAGGGCCAGTCCTGCCGCAGGCTTTGCACCTGATCTTGCTCATGACTGTTTTGGGTCCTGTGTCCCACACTGAAAGGAACTCGGGTCGGGTTCTGGATGTCACTGGGCTCCCGCGGCTGGCCCCACGCAGGCAGGGAGCTGCAAGCCAGGCCACGCCAAGGCCAGAGGGCAGGAATCAGCTTAAGGTCATTCTGGGATGCCAGCTCTTGAGGTTTAAGGGCAAACTCAAAAGATTAATGTATGAGGCTTAACCTACTGGGCAGTACAAGGGGATGTGGCCCCTGTCCTCTTCTCAGTTGCCCCACCTGGCTTGGGTCAGAGAGCTGCATGCTTGGGGCTGCGCGGGACCTGGCCTCCCTTAGAGATGCCCACTGGCTAGAGAGTCCAGGGTCCTTGAGGAGGCCAAGAGGCAGGAGGGGCTACCCTCCTGGCTGCCGGCAGGAGCTTTGGGAAACACACGGGCAACCTCCCCACTGGTGAGCTGTGCTCAAGGCGAGGCCTGGGAGTCGCTCCCTGGACCTGCTGCAGCAGAGGGCCAGGGTCTTGGGCCTGGACAGGCCTCATCCAGGATACCATCCTCAGGACCACCACGTGCTCCCATGGCAGGAGCTGGCGGGCAGCCTCAGGCAGTGGCTTCTGCAAGTCCCCCCCCTGGCGGACATGCACACTTCAGTAGGCGGGGCTTGGCTGCCACCAAGCCTGTGCTCAGTGCTGCCCCTGACTCTGGAGAAGCTGAGACCTGGCAACATGGACCAGTGTCTCCCGGCAGGGTGTGGAGGCCATCCAAGGAAGAGGACTTGCCTACATTTCCCTGGGCCTCAGGCTCCCCAACTGGGCTTTGTGACCCCAAACCATCTGCCCTCACTCAGGAGGACCCATCTCAGGCCTGAAGCAGGGCAACCCAGACATCTGGCCACCAGCCACCAGCCCTGGGAGCCTCACAAAACCACCAGAGTAACAGCACATACTCAGCAGGCCGTGTGGCCAAACTGCCCCCCACCTTGAGGAGGGCAACTGCCCAGAGGTGACCATGGGGGCCCAGGCCACACAGAGCCCCTATGTCCTCCTAGGTACCCAGTGCCCAGACCTTGGCTTTGCCCAGTTGTGCTGGTCAGGGATGCCTCAGTTACGGTCAAGGGCAGGAGCCATATTCCAACCTACTTGCAGAGCTGGGGCTAGGCTGGTTCCCCCAGAGCCGGCCATGCTAAGATGCTGACCACACCAAGTCCACGAGGCAGCAGGCCAGGAAGGGGCCAACTTTAATATGGGGGCAACCAGTTTGGGGTTAAAGAGGAAGCTCCCTATTCCTGGTGGCCCCTGCTCTTGTGCTGTTCATGGGCCAGTGAGACCCCGGCCAGGCTGTCTGATGGCGAAACAGGTGCCTTGCATGAGCAGTGGCTTCAGGCTGGGCCTGCTGTCCCGGCAGCTGGTGGCTGGGACTGTCCACAGCCACGGGCACATGGAGCACGCCACGGCTGCTACAGCGAGTCTCACCATCCCCTTCAGGATGTCTTTTCTCAGCAAGGCAGAGCCACTGTGTGGGGGCACGGCTGGGGCTCCGGGAGTCAATCTAGCAGCGACAGCCCCCCGGCCCAACTCTCCCAGAGGCTAGAAGCTTGCCTAGGCTGTCAAGTAGAGGTGCCAAGAGGTTCTGGGGTGTCTGCCCCTACCCCGCAGGAAAGCTGAGGCATGTCGTGGCCCGCTGTCCGCTTTCCCACAGGCACCAGGGCTGCTGAACAGCACCAGGGGCGGGTGGCAGGCCTGGGCCTCTGCCACCATGGAACCACCCCGTCAGAAGCCGGGCCTGGCCAAGGGTCTGCATGTCGCTGTTTAATCCAGAATGAGAGCAGAACAGCAGCGTCACTGTGCAATCGGACTGAACCGTGAAGGGACACCCAGGAGCCGTCCCAGCACGTGAGCCTGCGTGTGCTGCTGTTCTGCCCGACAGCACCTTCTGTGCTGGCCAGCCTGGCCACGCCGGCCGGCCTCCTGGGAGCCCTCCGGGGCCACCACACACCCAAGCTGTGTGGGTTTATCCTTGTAGAATCCTGCGAGTCCTGTGAGGGGCTGAGCTACGAGGCTGCCACCAGGTCTGCGGGCCTGGCTCTGACCTTGACAGGGTCTTTTTCTGTGAAGGAAACAGACACATCTGTGATATGGAAAAGACCACGGCAGATGCTTCCAGAAGACGAAGTCAGAGGCCACTAGAGAAGGCCACTATGGGAAGGTGTGCCCAGCCAGGGGAGGCAAGGTACAAACAGGAAGCCAGTGGGCCCACACAGGGCAGGGGAGCATGGCCCCCAGACCAGCTCCAGTGAGGGGCAGGGCCCCTGGAGCCACAGAGGATCAGGAAACAGGAAGACCAGGACAAGAGAGTCAGGCCTGCTGGGGTCTCTGAACCTGGGACAGATGCCACCACAGGGGAGCCACCCTCAGCTGCACAAACACCCCGGCAGGGCCTGCACCCCGGCAAGGCCTGCGTGGCTGACGAGCCTCTTCCCAATTCTAGCATCTGGACGTGGCTGCGACTGGGCCTGGCTCTCCGCCCTGGCTTCCCCCAGCCAGCCACATCTGCAGATTGGCCTGCCCACTGCACTGGGAACGCTGGCCAAGGGAGCGTTGTGTTGTTCCCTCCTAGGATGCGCCGTCCTGCATCCCAACAAGCTCAGAAGGATGAGGCAGGGAGGTACCTGGGAGTGTTTTAGGAAGGGGCTCTGAAGGAACCTCCGGTAGCTCTATTTGTTCCTGTAAAAAGCAAAGGGTAAGGCTGTAAGGCCAGCAGTCTTCGAGGAAAGGAAACCTACTTAACTAGCTACTGCAGTCGGATTTAAAGCAGGACAAGAGCCCTCCTGTTCAGACCTGAGTCTGCACGCCCCCCAGCTCCAGGCATCTCTGGAGATTCAAACCACCCCAGGTAGGGACACAGCCACTATAGCAGTGGCTTCTACAATGATCCTGGGGTCCTGTGGAGCACAGTGGCCAACTCTTGGGCTGTCCCTAGAGGCCCCAATTCCCAAGGCTAGGCCATGCCAGGACCATGGGTGTGATATGGAAAAGATATGGACACCCAGGCTGTGCTGGTGTCCACGGGTCCAGAGAATGACAGTGGCGTGACTGCTGGGAGGTGTCAAGGAGCCGTCACCCCAGGGCAGTCTGTGGGGGAGGCCACCTCCCAAACTGAGGCCTCTTTACCTTGGGGCCTGTTTTCCTATGCAGTTCACCAGGCTCTCAGGCCCCAGTGGACAGGAGGTCATGGACTCTGGAGGGCTGGGGCAGCAGGCAGCTCTTGGGGCACAGGGAAGCCCTGGCACACTGAGGCAGGGGCCCACAGAGATGGCGCACTCTGCACAGATGTCTGGCAGAGGAGGATGCGATTGCAGAACAGACCCCCCTGGGCCCAACCTGCACAGCAGGCCAGACACAGGCAAGGGGAGAGACCCACATCATGGCTGGGAGGCCTGGCATCTGCCCTATCCACACACAGGTCACTGCCTGTGCCAGTCCTGGGGGTCAGCCCTGGAGACCACTCATCCATGCTGTCTCTTCAAGCTGCTGCTAGAGTTATGGAGAAAGGCCTCTGTTTGGCACAGACCTGAGTCACTTTAGGAAGGAAAAGCAGGTGCAAAACCAGAACCCTGTGCTCAAAAAGACAGCTGCAAATGCCACAGGTGGAGGCCTACTGCATCCTGTAACCCAGTAACTGGGGTCTTACTGCTTAGGCAACCATGCCTGACCCTGGGTCTCATCACCCAGCAACTGTGCCCAGCCCTGGGGTCCTGTACCTGAGTGATAGCATTCAGTTCCTCCAAGATGGCATCTTCATCCTCCTGGGTGAAGCTCCCTGCTAACAGCTCATCTATTTGCTGCAGAAGAAGGAATAGCAGTTAGGTCTGTTAGGTTGGGGCCCAGGGACAGGAGACAGCCTGTGGCTCCAGGCCTCCCCTGGACAGCAGCAGCCGTCATGAGAAGAAGGGCGGTTTGCCCCCAACGTCCTCCAAGCTGGCAACAGCACTGAGCAGCAGGTGGGGGAGGCCCCGGTACCAAGCAACACCTACCCGCTGGTACTCCACGGCCTCCTGGGTCTCGTCCAGGATCCTCTCCACTTCCTCTATGGACATCACCTGGAGGTCACGAGGTTTGGGAGCGTGTCAGTGAGGCAGACGACAGCCCCTTCATCAAGGGCCACGCCTTGGTGCTCTGCCCTGCTTAAGTGAAACCAGGCGAGGGGGCACCTGACCAGTCTGCTGGCCAGTCTGCTCAGGCAGGGCCCTGGCCTGGGCTGCCAGAGCTGTCAGACCTGACTTCAGAGGCCTTGGGCTGCAGGGCCTAGACCCCCTCACCCGAGCCTGCCCTGGCATCGTTCTCTAAGTGGGTGATCTGATTGCCAGGGGTGAGTTAAAATGGCATCTCTGCTTAACTGGCATGCACACCACCAGTACCACACTCAACCAAGTGGCACTCAGGAGCTCAGCTCTCCCACAGCCCGCCTGCTGGCCCACTCATCTGAGCAGGAGGAAGGAGGCCTGCGCTGGGCTTCCTGAAGCAAAGAGGGAGCTTGCTTCCCCTAGGAAACCTTCGAGGTTACTCATCACGCTGCTCTTTACCCTAGCCAGACCTCTGGTCACTAGAACCCACAGACCCAGCCCACACAGCACTGTGCAGCACCCTCCTTGGTCCTTTTGGCCCCGAGTGCCTGTGCCAGCCACTGATGGTACCCCTGGCCCAGCCCAGGTGATGGGCAGGAAGCCCTGCTGGCTCTACTGGACCCCCTCCTCCATGCCTCGCCCAGCAAGGACCTACCTGGTGCATCTTGTTCAGACACTCATTCCCCACCTGCAGCCCCTCCAGCACCTTCATCTCGATCTGGGTGAACTCGATGCTCTGGACCTGAAAAGAACCAGCCCCAGGAGGTCAGCAGCCTGCCTGTACTCCTGACCCAGGGGCAGGGTTCAGGGCCACAGCATGCTGACCAGGGGCTTCTGGGCATTCGGACAACTTCTGCACTCCCCCTTCCTGTCCCCTCCCATGGCCCATTGGAGACAGAGGACAGAGAAGGTGCCAGAAGACATGTGAAGGACGTCTGAGTGCTCAATCGGTGGCTCAGGCTACCCAGAGTGGAACCATGCTGCTTGGGCAGTGCACACGACCAGGGGAGGCTCAGCCCCACCCTGAGCACGCACAGTGCCCAGGACCACGTGGCTCGGGCAGGGGTCCTGCATGCCTACCATGGTCTCCAGGCTGCTGATCTGGCTCTCTGTCCTGTCCAGGAGCTGCTCCCGGTAGCGCTTCTTCTTGAGCAGCAGCTTGGCACGTCTGCAAGGGGAGCCGGGTGAGTGCTGTGGCCCCAGCTGGTCCTGCCCACCAGCTGCAGGCCACCTCCCCCCCACCCACTCACTCCTTCCGGCCATCTCGCAGGAGCTGCCGGGCCAGGGCCCGCTCCCGCTCCAGCTGCTGTGAGACCCTCTTCTGGTACTGCCTCAGCTTGTCCCGCTGCTGCTTCAGTTGCTGCAAGAGAAAGTGGTCTGGTATCGGGCAGCCCACACGACTAGGCCCTGGCCAGGCTGCCTAGCTCTGCCCATGCTGGCTGGGGGCTCACAAAGGAGCTCTCAGATGTAGGCCACCCTCTAAAACAGCGACCTCTGTGGGGCAGGACTATCTCCCAGGGATGTGTGGCAACACCCAGAAGCACTTCCAATTTCATGATGTGGGGTGCTGCTGGCATCTGCTACCTCCCATGTCCACTGCACCAAGGAGAACCTCACTCTAGTCACCACAGCCTGGCCCAGGACACAGGAGGATGGGCTGTGAGCAGTACGTGTGCTCAGGGCCAGGCTGGGAAGCAGCCACCAGTCAGTCCCTGGAAGGTTCACATACAACAAGGAGCAGGCAGCTGAGGGCACCTGAGCCCACGGCACTCACAGCCCAGCGGAGACTTGGGGCATCCCTCCTGCCTCTTAGTGTGTGCTTAGCTTCCCCCTTTCACTTCTGTCCATCTGAATGGAAAACAAGCTGCCAGCAGGCGATGTGCCCATCAACTAAACTCCTTTCCCCACCTTGGCTGCCCAGAGGCACAGGCACTGCCCCTTGGTCTCTCTTCCCTCCTTAGGTCATCTCCTAAGAGGAAATGGTGGTGCTGTGATGAGCAGCGTCAGGGTAGTTCGCACACTCAGGACGGGGCCTGCAGGATGGTTCCTGCTAGTGAACCCAGTCAGGCAGATGCTCGCCTTTAGGCTCAGGGAGTAATCATGGTATACACCGCCTCCCTCCCGGTGCTCACCAAGGGCCGGCCCTGCAGGGCCAGGAGGGAAGGCGCCCACTGTGCAGCCCCCCCCGACCCCAGCCTGCCCGCCCTGCGCCAGCAAGGCCTTCCTGGCCACCACCCACAGCCCGCAGGGGACACACGGCCTCAGAGAGAGTGGAGGAGCCCACAGAAGGCAGGCTGGCTGGGGGCAGGGCAGAGGGCAGGGGCAGCACTGTGCTCTGGGACACGGAGCACCTCGGACCGCGAGGGGCGGGCAGGTCTGAACCACTCTGAACCCGCGAAGGTTCTGCTTGGAGAGCGGAGGGAGGGCAGGGGGCGGCGGGGCGGGGGGCGGAGGGAGGGCAGGGGGCGGCGGGGCGGGGCTTCGGCGCTGAGCTCAGTTAGTGACCGGCGGCTGCTGGCGCTGCGGATGCCCCGGGGTCCAGAAGCCCGGGTCAGAGCCGCCTGGCCCCGACCGGGTTTCCACGGTACAAACAGAGCCCACTTCGAGGCAGACTTAGAGGGGAGCGTCGGAAAGCCAGCGGCCACGTCCGGGCGCCTTCTGGAGGCGGACTTCGGCCCAGAAACAGGTCGCTGTGGCTGCGCGTCCCTCCCCGTCCCCGACTCCGCTCCGCTGGAGAGCTGGGCACTCGGCCGCGGCCCAGCCCTCCCGCCGCGCCTCACCAGGATGGCTCTGTCCTGCTCGGTGACCCGGCTTTGCTTCTTGCGGCCGAACAGATTGCCCATGGCGGCCCCGCGCCCGCAGCCCAGCCGAGCCGCCGCCGCCCAGCGGCCACCGTACCCGGCGCCTACGGCGGCCGCGCAGGGCCCCGCTCCACAGAAAGCGCCTGCGCATGCGCGTTCCACCCCGTCCCATCGGGTCCGCCGCAGGGACGGAGGTCGCGCTCGCGCGCCGCCTGCTGGACTCGCGGAGAGGAGCCGGGCAACGTAGGCTCTGCGGCCTCGGTAGTGCGCTCGGGACCGAAGAAGAACCTCCTACTTAGAGGGACCTGCGGGTCCACTTAACGCAGACTCCCCGCGGCATCACTGCCCTGCGAGCTCTGAGCGCTAGAAGCTGCACTTGGTGATGTCCATTTGACGTGCTGGACCTGAAAGTGTTTGTCCAAGTGCTGCGCAGCAGCCGCGCCCCTGCTATTTGGTCTGGCCGTTCCTTTGCTCCCCTACTGGGTTCTCGCTGTGCTCAGACACAGTGGCGTGGCCAGTCCCAACTTCTTGGTGGAATCTGGCTGTGCCCCTGGAGGAAGGCTTTCTCCCTTCGGGACAGAAGCATTCCCAGGGGTAAGGGACAGCTGCTGCTGGGAATATTGCAGCCCTGTTACATTTGCACTAAGCCCAGGGATTCTCTAAAACCATCTGACCTCTCGCCTCCACCCCACAGGTTAGTTAAATGGGGTTGTGATAGACACCTGCCCCAGGGCGTGGCACTAATCTCCGAGGCACCTCCCCCGGCGTGGCATTGCCCGTTGCCCGTTGCCGGGGTAGGTGTACTTCCCCAGAGGAAATACGGGGACTGTGCTCGTGGTGGAGCTTAGTCCAGAGAGCACTGAGAACTGGGCACCAGCTACTGCAAGGATCTGTGGGCTCCCTGGCCCCATTAAGAGTCAAACTTGAGTTAAGACCACACCTCATCTGATGGTGTAAACCCCTCTCTGATGGGGGCATCTGTGTCCCCTGGAATCAGCAACCATTTAAAGGCAGCCTCTTGTGATTCCAGAGCTGCATGCCCACCTCCTTCCTCTGGGTCACAGTACTCTCCCATACTGGTCCTTCTGGGGGGGGCCTGGAGACCAGCTGGACTTACCTGCAGCAATGCTTTCTGGGTTCTCTCCAGATCCTGAGCTCCAGGTTTGTGACTTATGTCTGGAAACAGGGTGACTTAAGTCAGGTTTTGGCCACCAGGCCTAGACTGTCTCTGTGCACAGAGTGAGCAGTGTTCTAGGGGACTGCCCACTTCTTTTGCTCCCAGGGACCATCTGAGTAGCTGGGGTTCCTACAGGCCAGGACACTGAGTACCAGGCTGGCTGCCCGCTACAGGCCGTGCCCACCTCAGCTTCAGCAGCTCTGGGTCACATCATCCCTGTGACATCCAGAGCCCATCTCAACAATGGCCCTCCATCCCCATGGTGAGCTTGGCAGCAGGCCCAGAACTGAGCGAGAGGCCTCCTGTCACTTGTGGGGTCCCAGGTGGTGTCAGCCACATGCAAAGGTTGTGTCTTCGACCTGTATAGTTGGGGGTGTAGGTGTGCAGGTCACACTGGATGGACCCAGTTCAACAGTCGTCTCTCTGTGGACCTCTGTACTCTGGTCCTCACAATGCCAGGGACACTCCAGCATCTCACACTCACCCACTGAGTCCCCTGTTGAGTCCGAATTTCAGTCAATCCAAAAAACAGGTTGTGGTGGGCTCCAAGGGCGGGTCTAGGGGCTGGGTGCACTGTTGGGCAGTGGGCACACCTGCCTCAGGAATCCAGCCCCATCTGGGCTCTGTCTCAGCCTCCTGTCTAACACCCTGGAATCCACTTCCACACATAACTCCCCAGGTCTCTGCCAACATAGATTTGAAAATCTTTGAATTCTTGTAGTCTGTAAACCGGGGTTTGGCAACTGCACCCTGTAAGCCAGGTCTGGCCTGGAGCCTACTTTGTTTTGTACAGCCTGTGAGCTAAGAATGGTTCACATTGGAAAGGGTTGAGAAACACACACACCCTGCCACCACCAAGACAGAGGAAGGAGGAAGAGGAGGAGGATAGGAAGTGGACAGAGATCCGTGTGTTGTGCAAAGCCTTAGCTGTAGACTATTTGGTCCTTACAGAAAAAGAACCCCAGCCCTGCTGGGAGTGGTTTCCTGCAGTGTCCCAGGTGGCCCTGCTCTGAGGGTTCACTGCAGGCTGTGGAGCCCACTGAGGAAGATGGGAACCCCTGGAGGACTTGCAAATGTGGGATGCCAGTCCCTTGGGCCACTGCTACTAGGGCCACGGGAGAGGCTGTGAGTGGCCTGGGAGACCAGGAGGTCAGCCTTCGTTGAGATTCAGCACTGCCCTTTGAGTTCAGGGTCATCTTTCTATCAAGGCCTCAACTTTCAAGCCAGGAAGCTGGCGAGGGTGTGAGTGGTGCATGCCTAAGGTGTGGAGCCACAGTGGCATCTGCCCAGGGGGAATGGTCATCCCTGCCGCCTGGGGCAAGGGTGGAGGAAACAGTGACTCCCATAGGCCCAGGCCAGTGGCAGGCATTTCCATTGTCAAGGTCAGCAGTGCAGTGCAGTCTAGCCCCAGGTCAAATCCAAAGCAATGCCCATTCCACCTCGGAAGACCTGCATCCTGGAACCAGCCCTGGGACCAGACTTCTGTTTTGTGCAGTCCCGGTCAGCTGGCAGAAGCCACAGTGGTCATGTGAACAGAGAGTAGGACGGGAAGACCTCTAACCAGAAAAGGACTTGAACTATTAAAAGGGCACATGAGAACCCGAAGACAGGAATGGCAAACCGGGACAGAGAAGGGGGGGAAGAAACAGGACCCGGGAGAACAATCCGTCCAGGACAGGGCAGGGAGCCGCCAAGGGTGAGAACCAGGGTCACCCGTGGGGAGACCACCAGTGGGCCACGGAACCCAGAGCGGGTGCAATGGCCAGGAACTCCACCAGGCAGCTGAGGACTTTCCTGGGAGCGCGACTTGGAGGAGCCTGCATTTCCATTGTCTGTACACAGTGCTGTACCCGGCCAGATGCAAGAAGCAGCCACAGGTGGCAGAGCAGGTTGCCAAAGAGCAGGGCCAGGAGGGAGCTGGGCGGTAGAGCAGGTGCCCATGGTTGAGGCTGGGCCCATCCCCAGCACCCCGGACACAACAGAAAGGGAAGCCCCTGCCCCCGCTGGGCAGACCAAAAGCCCTGTGGCCTGGCCCATCGCACGCTCATGCCCAGCCCTGGCCTCTCAGCCGCTGCTATTCCAGGACCCTCCACCAATCCCTGGGCTGAAGGCTCCTCACCAACAAGCCCACGGAATCCAGGGCAGGCATGGGATCCACAAATCCAGCCTGGCCAGGTGGCTCTGGTGTGGCTCCCGGGCGTCCACCTCTGCACTATTCTCCAGCTGGAATCAGCAAAGCCTTGATGTCTGTGGGGGTGGCAGATGGCCACTCATCTCCCTGGATGCACCTGGGTCTCCCTCAAGTTAAGTGGAGGAGAGGAGGGGTGACGGGCTCCCACTTGAGGTATGGTCAGCAAGTGAGGGCGGCTGCCCAGACAGGGCACTGCTGCTTCTGCTGCTGGGAAGGCTTAGTGGGATGACTGGGGGAGGGTTCGAGGTGGACACTGGGCTCTCCCCAGCCAGCCTTTCCCACTGTGCTCCAACAGGAGCCATCCGGAGGCTGAGAGTTCAATGTACCTGTAACCCTGCCACCTCGGGGGAAGCCTGGGGGAGGGTCTTCAGATGCAAGGGTCCTGCAGCCCCATGTTTCCCCATCTTCTCACTCTGCCTTGACCCGAGGATTTAAAGCCCTCTCCATGTCATTCCTGAACTGCGGTCTTTCCAGTGCCCGTGGGAGCCAGCGCCCACCTGCAGCCCTCACAGTCCTGCTTCCACAGGGATTTGCTTTGAGCTGCTTCTGGATCTCCTAAACGTGGCGTTCCAGAACCGGTTCTGGGCCATGACAGAGAGCGTTTTGCCACACAGGCAAAGATGACCACCACCCACCTGTGCTGGCCAAGCTACAGAGAACCACGGACAGGGCAGTGCAGAAAACAGAAGTGTCCTGCGGCACTGTGGGGCCCGAGGCCTGAGGTCAGGTTTCAGCAGCTTCCCTGGGCTCGGAGGGAGGTCTGTTCTAGGCTCTCCCCGCGCTGGTGGCGCTGGCAACCCTTGGCTGCTGGTCTGGAAGGAGGGCTAGGGCTCAACGTGAGTTTCAGGGGCTCAGCTCCAGCTGGAACACAACAGCAAGGCTGTTGCTGAACTGTTCCTGTTGGAGGAGCTGCTTCCTGAATGACTTCTGACACTGGATACTGGGCTGCGTGTTCTCAGGAAGGCAGGAGCCTCTCTGGGCATCTCAAGCAGGAAGGTACGTGCTGCAGAGAACCAAGGGCTCAAAACCACGGAAAGAGTTGGAGGAATGAAGACTAGGGAATCCCATCCCTGGATGGTGGGTCAGCAGCATTGGAGTCTGGGGCCACTAGATCTGCAGGAAGCCCTCTGTGGTGTGAGCAGACATGCAGAGGCCATCCCACAAATTGCAGGCCCACCAGGTGGACTGCCACTGCCCGGAGATGGTGACAAGGACTCCCCACCTTCTCCACCCCTAGAGAGAGCTTCGCATTAGTGGAAATTAACCTGTATTCAAGCTCGAAGCTCCAGCCTGTGCGGACCCAGGGTAGCAGCAGGCTGGGGAACATGGGGCACGCACTGGGGAGGCAGGAGGCAATCAGGAAGTGGCATTCCCGTGGCCTGGAGATGACATGTCTAGAAAGAGGCAAATGGTGTGAAAGTGGTCTCTGTGGGAGCCAGTGCTATAAACCCAACGTCATTCAAGAGTCATCTGTGTCCAGAGGCCCACTAGGCTCCATGCAGGGTGGGCTAGGTGCCCGGGACCCCAATGGGGTGACTCCAGTCCGTTTGGGTGCAGGAACTGGCTGATACCACAACCAGTGTGCAAGCCATAGCTGAACACTCTGTGGCCCTCATCTCCACTTCTCAGTCCAGGAGGGCCCCCATCTCCCAGGCCAGGCTCCCTCCTGGACAAGAAAGCACAGTGTAGGGAGAGAGAGCACCTCGCCTTCTCAGGCCACAAGGCCGCTGACAGGGGAGAGCTCTGATTGGCTCAGTTTAGGCCAATCAGCTGTGGCCTTGGGGAGTAGTGATGAATGATTGGCCCAGCGCAGGAGTCCTGCCCACACCTAAGCCAATCCTCAGTGTCCGGAGAGGGGCAGTTTCCATTCAGCCGGGGAAGGAGGGAGCATTAGCCCCCAAAGGGACTTTTTTGTCCTGTCTTGCCCATGTGTGTGACATGTCCAGGGCACATGTTGACGCCTGGCTCCGGCCAAGAGACCCCAGGGAACTTGTGACGGGGCCGCTCTTGGAAATGGAAAGCCCGCAGGCCGTGGGATGCAGGTGGACGCTGGGGAGGGGCCGTGGGGTCTCGGGTGTGACCGAGAAGTCAGTGGCACCGCGGAGAAAAAGGGATGAGCCCCCTAGAAAATATCGGTCCTGGACAAACGAGTGTCAGAGGAAACCGCTCGCTTTGATCACACCTGGGGGTGTCGGCAGCGGGGGCAGCGGGGGCGGCGCAGGACCCCAGAGGGAAGGTGTCCTGGGGCTGCCCTGGGGAGCAAAGGCCCTGTTGGCTGGTGACCTCGGCGACCCTCGGAATGAGGGACGCCGGCTGGCAGGGATGCAGGGCTAGGACTCCCAATGGGGCCGTGGAGAGCAGGGGGAGGACTGGGGCAGGGAGGGCGCTGCAGGGCCTTGGGCCACTGACCTCCCTCCAGGAGGCCAGGCCCCACCCGACTTCCCGACTTGTGTGGTGACCCCCCGTCAGCGACCACGCGGGGGCGCTGCAGGACAGGCGGCCAAGGAGCTGGGGCGGCAGGCGGGACCCCAAGCACAGGCCGTGGCAGCCCCGGGTGTGCTCAGAGAGGCCCGTCCTGTGCGGACTCGCGAGGTGGGCCCGGGAAGCCCGCGGCGGTGCAGGTTTGGGAGGCCCCTGTGGGGTCTGTCGGCTCTGAGAGTCCCTGAGGAGACACTGCCGGGTGGGACGTCGCAGGGGTGGAGGGTGGTGGTCAGGGAATGCCTCCTGGAGGAAGTGGCATCAGATGCCAGGAGGCTGAGCACCAGACAAGAGGCCGTGGAACAGTGCAGGGTAGGGCAGCCTGGGCGCGAGGGCTGGTCTTACTTGGGCCTCTCAACCAGTCCCTCTGGCTGCTGTTCTGTGGGGTGAGCTGTCATGCTGAGAAATGGGCTTGGGGGCCCTGGAGTGGTTCAGGTGAGAGTCAGTGGATGGGGCAGAGCTGCATATCTGGACTTGCGGATGGGTGAGAGATGGCCATGAGTGGACAGGGCATCGGGCAATCATGCCCCTAGGTGGATGTGGTGCCCTTCAGAAGGGAATGGCAGCCCCACTCCAGCCTGGGACCCCAGGACAGGCCATTTCGCTGGGGGGAACTGAGGTGCACAGGAGTTTGGTAGCCTGCCTGAGGTGGGTGGGCATTTCCACACAGGTGGAAAGTGGGAGGAGGCTCCTGGGGCCTGGTGTGGGGGTCCCTGTTGGGCAGGGTGCTGAGCTTTGGATTGCGCTGTGGCTGCAGCCTGGAGCAGAAGGACACAGGCTGGTGCCTGGGCAGAGGCCTGGGAAGACAACTGCCACAGGAGGCCACAGCCCTTGAGTGGTCCCCTCTGCTCTGGGCCAGTAAAGCACGGCAGCAGTGATGGTAGGTCATGTCCCAGGCTGGTCCTTGAGACCCAGTGGCTTGTCTGAGCCACAGCTTGATGGCCACTGCCTGGGGGACCCCAGCCAGATGCCCAGTGGAGCCGCCGCTTCTGGACCCCTGACCCTGAGATGCAGAACATCTGCTGCCCCAAGCTGCTGGGTTTGGGATTTGTTTGGAGCAATAGGGAATGACACCAGCGCAGCCATCCCACCCAAGCCCAGCTGTCGGCTCAGCCCATGCCAAAGTCTGGCCAGGCCTGGAGGCCCTGCTTGGACACTCACTCATGCAGAGGTGGGTGGCAGGCTCTGTTCCTGGTCCTGTGGCCTCCCTGCAAGACTGCTCGCAGGGGGTCTTCCTCCAGAGCCCCTGGCCCAGTGCAGAGGACAGGCCAAGTTGCCGGTGTTGTGCCCCAAAGGCAGCAGTCCTTGAGGCCTGGGATGTTCCAGCCTGGCCCTCTGTTCCCTGAGACCTGGTCTCTTACTGTCCCTGGCACTTCCTTGAGTCTGAATATGTTCATGCTGTCATTTAGGCAGAATGATAGAATGTATTTCTCCTAGGTCTGAAGACTGGGAAGTCCCAGGGGAAGAGGCTCACGGGCTTGGGGTCTGGTGAGGACCGGCTGTCGCTCTAGGTGGTGCCTTCAACGCTGCATTCTCACCTGGTGGAAGGCAGAAGGTGAGAAGGGCTGGAAGCTACCTGAAGGCCTTTCTGTGAGGGCCTTGGTCCTGCTTAGCAGAGGAGCTGCTGCTGCTGATTTTTTTCTTCAGAGCTGGGGATGGAACCCAGGGCTTCTATGTGCTAGACAAAGTGCTCTGCCACTGAGCAGCACCCCGGCGCTTTTTAAATTTTATTTTGAGACCGGGTCTAAGTTGCTTAGGGCCTTGCTAAGTTGCTTAGGTTGGGCTCCAACTTGCAATCCTCTTGCCTTAGCCTCCTGAGTGGCTGGGATAACAGGCCTGGCGACTGCTGTCGGTACTTTTGATATATTATGAATATTGAACCTTATCTGTTCCATGATTTGAAACATTTTCCCCCTCCTGTAGGTTGTTTTCCACAGTCTTGAAGATGTTCTGTGCATGGAAACTTTTATTTTTATGAATTCTAGTGTATCATTTCTTTTGTCATGTGCTCTTGGTGTCAAATCTAAGACTTAGTCGCTATATGTAAGGTCATAAATGTGCACCCCTGAATTTTTTTCCAGATGCTTTGTCATTTTAGCTTGTATATTGAGGTCATGGGCCCACTATGAGCTTGTCCTCCTACCTGGGGTGAGGTGGGGGCTCAGCTGCACTCTCCAACTGGCCCAGCCCCATTGCAAGGCTGTTCCTAACCCACAAATGGTCTGTCCTCCTTCTCAACAATCAGTTGCTCAGTCAAGTTGGGTCCACTGGTCCCGCTGGCTTGTCCACCTGCCCTTATTTCTGTACCACAAGGTAGCTTTGAAGTAAGTTGAAATTAAGTGACATGAATCGAATTCTTCCTTTTCAGTGTTGTTGGCTACTTGGGGCCCCTGGCAGTGCCATATGAACTTGTTCTTTCTATTTCTGCAAAGAAGGCAGGGGAACTGGGCCGGGGCTGGTGTGAAGTCTTGGGTCCCGTTGGGGCACCGCCGTTTTGCCGTTATCAGGTCTTCCAACCCAAACCTGGGCTGTCTCCTCATCTGCTTGGGGCCTGTGGCTTTCAAATCTGTGCTTAGGTATTTTGTTCTTTTGTGTTTCACTGCAAATGGAATTGGTTTCTTAATTTCCTTCTCAAATTATTCAATGCTGGTGCATCATTTGAATTCTCCCCCTTCACAGGCCACGGAATGGGAATCCTCACGAGGCGGGCTCTCGTGGAAGAGCCTCACCTGGGTTTCCCAGCTGCACCCTCCACCCCTCCCAGGGGCCCCTCCTGGAGTCACAGACACTCAGGTCCAGGTAGGAGCTCCTTGTGTGATCCTGCTCCTGCTAACCCGAGGCCAGGCTACAGTTCTTGATCCCACAGGTAACCCCAAGACTGAGAGCCTGGGGCGATGCCTTCCCCGCCCTCCATTACCCCTGAGGACCCATGTCAGCCAGGGCTGAGGAGGGAAGGCCTGCAAAGCTAGAAGGGACTCTGCCCCTCCCCCAGATACGCTGGGTTCTGTTGGCCTCATCAGGTGTGGGGCTCTGGGTGGGTGTCCTTGGGGGTGGACAGCCTCCTGGTCATGTCTGCGTGGCCCCTTCACCCATGGTGCTGTGCCCAAAGTGACGCTGGCTTCCGGGCTGGGGGCCTGGGTGGTAGGATGGCTTAGGAAGCCTTGGCTCTGGCCTTGGTGGCCATGCTAACTGGAGGACAGCCCTTCCTCTCGGGGCTGGGGTCCTGCATGGTGAATGGCCTGTCACTTCCCTGGCCCCTGGAAGTCCCTGTGGGGCCTCAGTCTGTTTGGAGGATGCTGACCTATCCCAGGGAGAAGCAGGTTCTGGGGGGCGTGGCAACCATCCTCCTAACTGCCCTGGGCCTGCCTGGCCAGGGTAAGGCAGGGTCTCATAGGTCAAGGACCCAAGTGGTGGTTGGAGGTGGGGAGGGCTGAGGGGCACCAGGGCTGCCTCCCTGGCCTGGGGACATGAGGCCCAGCCCGCCAGGTGGGGCCAAGAAGGCTGGGCCCCACGAACATCCAGGGCTGCCACCACTGTCCTCAGGGTCTCCCCTCCCCCCACGGTGCTGTTGAGAAGGCCCTGGGGACACTGGTGGCAGCCTGGGTGTGTTCCCCACCCACAGGGAGCACCTGGCCACAGAAGTGCAGGATGGACCTTCCCTGCAGGGCCCCACAGCTGCCCTCAGGAGGGGAGAGCTAAGAGAGAGCTTCCGGGAGCGACCTGCCCAGGGCCAGCCTGCCCAGCGTGCTCCTGGCTCTCATGCTACAGCGTCTCAGGGATAGGTGACCTCCCCAGTCACTGGCCCCACTTCTTGTCACCTGGCGGGCAGGCGGGGTCTACCCCTACTTGGCCTCTGGGGTGCTGAGGCAGGGTGGGGCCAGAGGTGACTGGGCTGCAGCCACAGGGACCTGGTGTCCTGGTGTCACAGGAGGGCACAATGGCTGATGTGAGCATGCAATAGGCTGCCATTGGGGACTCCCTTTTGCTTCCTCCCTGTCCCTCTCTCCTTCTGGGTGTGGCCTTTGCTCTACATTCCCCTGATCTCTGAGCCAGTTGCAGAAACCAGCTCTCGACCACAAAACAGACCCCAAATCGGAGCGTCCTCCCTTGAAGAGAAGAGAGGCCCATGAGCAGGAACTCGCTCCCTGTGGGCAGCCCCTGGCCTGACGCCCCCACGGCCTCATAGACTCTGAGGGGAGCTGAGCCTGAGACCTTGAAACAGCTGCCTCCTGCCGAGCGCTGCCCCCCAAGGCATGGCCTTTCTGTGGGGCGAACTTTCGCAGGGCCTCCTTCCAGGACCAGCAGCTGCGGGCCCCATGGCTAGTGGGGCAGTAGAGGCCAGGGAGGTTGACCCGTGGAGGGAGGCACTGGAGGCTCTGGGCCTGGCTCACCTGTCAGCACCCCACAGGGCATGTTGCTCCTGTCCTGCCTCCTTGTCCTGCGGGGGTCACCTGAAGCTGGCCATTTGCCTCTTCTGCTGGGCACGTGAGCAAAGCCAGCCTGCAGCCGGCGCCCTTGCCATGGCCACAGGCCTGGAGTGGCTGTGGAGATCCGACTTGCCGTCAGGCCTCCTTCCTGAGACTGCCTCGGGTCCGTCCCCCGCTGTTATGAACACCGGATTTGTTCTCAGGTCGTGCGGACAGAAAAACTGATGCTAATAGGAAAAATATCACTCTTCTAACCAGAGCTGACCTGGCACAGCCCCACAGCGCTGGGCACCTCTCTTGTTTAGGATGAACCCTGACTTAGCAATCCCAGCACAGGAGCCCTCCAGGTCTCCATGGCAACGGCTGCCTCCCTCTTTGGCAGGCGTGGAGGACTGGGAGCAGCGGCCGTCTGCGTCACGGGAACCCACCTTCTCAGGGCTGCACCCATGGCCAGGCCCCAGGTTTGCTGCTCATGGCCGCAGGCTGCCCCCAGGGGCCACTAGATCCCAGGACAGTGGCCAGCACAAGGCCAGGGAGCTCCAGAAGGCAGGAGCCGCGGCCGTGCAGCTGTCGGGGCTGCAACCTTCCTGGCTTCTCTGGCCAAGGACCCTGAGCCTTTGTGGCTTCTGTCTGGAAGGAGGGTCTCTGGCTGTGGACAGAGGGGGCGGTCCGCTGAATAATGCCTCCAAAGATGTCCACATCTCAACCGCAGGGCCGATGACTATGCTTGCCCCCTGCTGAAGCCGGTTAGAGGCTGAAAATTGGTTCATTTGAAAATGGGATAGGGCTGGTCACCCAGGGGCCCAGGGTAGTCAACAACATTGAAAAGGAAGTGATGTCAAAACAAAGCCCTCCCCTTCCCTGGACCTCCAGACACGAGAGACACTGCTGGCTCTGGAGAGAGGAGGGGCAGACCAGGGCTTTCTCCCCAGCAGCAATGCTGCCCTGGGACACCTCATTCTCAGCCCCGCGAGACTCGAGTGGACTTCCCACGTGGCATAACGGCTGGCCTTGTCAGAGAAGCAAGTTACAACACAGCAGCAGGAGCCCCCTGGAGCTCGGCCTGTGCAACCAAGTCATCTGCTCCCAAAGGTAGGGCCGCACTGGGTTGCTGAGGCTGGCTTTGAACTGCGACCTTCCTGCTTCCGCCTCCCAGCTGCTGGGGCCATAGGTGCGGCCTTCCCTTGAACAAACTCCTCTCACAGGGACAGACGGGGCACATGATATAAAGTGCTGCGCTTTCTTGTGGGGCTGAGGCCCAGCTGCCCAGGGCAGCTGCAGAGGACTTAGGCGATAGCCGCCCCAAGGCTCCCCGCAGGCCTGCCTGGCCCCCCAGGGGCAGATGTTGCTTCCTGGGCAGAGGCTGCCACCAGCGGCCACTTGTGCACGTCTTTAACTTTTATTAAGTTTATTATTTGTCATTGCTCTTAGCTTCACATTACGATTCCATGTTTTGTCAAAGTCTTTTTCAATTCTCATTTTGGTAAAATAAATAGAGATAAAGGAACTCTAGGCGGTGCTCTCTCGAGCCTGTTAACTTCATGATTGAGTTTTCGCATCAGCCTGGGAAGGCCCCGCCCACGCGGTGCTAGTGGATGCACAGCATGAGCAGGGCTCCAGTGGGACCAGGGAGGGGAGGGCCTGGCCCTTCCAGAGCCATCTGCACTTTGCCGGTGGTGGTTTTGCCTCAAAAGTAACAGAAATGCAAGTTAGGCTGCAATCGAGCTGAACCTCAGCTACGGGAGGTCAGCAGCTCTGTGGGTGAAGCTCAGTTTCCGGAAGGTTCCAGGGTTTCACCCACAGAGCTTAGGGGGTGCAGGGGAAAGGGTAGAACTTGTGGGGGAGTCAGGACTTTCTAGGGCCTTCCTGACTCCAGGCTGCTTGTGCTCCCAGGCGAGGGAAGGGCCTTCACCCTGGAACCTCCTGGTGGACAGCTCATTTCCTGGGGGCAGCAGAAGGGTCTCCTCCTCCTCCATCCTGCCTTGTCCACCCGTCTGGCTCTGGGGTTGGCTTAGGGCTGCCCTCAGGACTCCATCCACCTGGAAGACAGTCTTGGCCAAAACAGAGCTATCGCCCCCCACATGAGGGGCCTGGCCTTCCTGTCCCGACTCACTCAGACCCCACTATTATTGGTCTCTGATCAGCAGAATCAATTAAGCCCTCTCATTCCTCATCTCTGAAAGATCCTGATTCCCAAGGAAAATGGAAACGCTTTCCAAACGCCATCATTGTAGTTGTGCCATGTGTGTGCAATCGGCAGCAATTCCGAGCTCCCTCCCATGGTCCAGCCGTCCACAAGGCCCCTCTGGAACTGCACATGCACGCGCGCGCATACACACACACACACACACAAACACACGCACACCGGGCAGGCCAGGCTAGGCCTCCAGAATGCTTCTGCATCACGGACTGCAAGATGCAAGCCTTGCTCACACCAGCGTAGGGCAAAGAGCTGAAGACCGGCTACTGCTACCCACAACCCCTGGGGCTCCGTGCACCTCAGCACCTGTGTGAGGTGTGTGCATGGCAGGGAGGCCATGGCACCCACGCACACATGCACCCCAAGCAGGGACATGGAGGTCCTGGCCATGGTCACTAGAGCAGCACTTCAGGGATGAGCCTGCAGTTTGGGACGGTGGCTGATTTGTGAGGACCTCATTGTGTCTAGAGCAGCAGAGCCAATGGGCCCTCTCCTGCGAATGCCTTCCTGCGAGAAGGACCCAAACCAGAGTCCAAGGGCCTGGCTGCATGGGGGGTGGGGTGAGGCTGGCGAGCCCCCCTCTTCGTACCACGACCCCCCTTGACAGGGAGGCCTGCAGCTGAGCAGCCCTGGAGGGCCAGCTCGGGGCTGCTTCCTCCTCACTGCTGGCTGCAGGGGTCTCCCTCCCTGTTTTCTGACACCTCCAGCCTCCTCCAGCCTGTTCCCAGCGGCTCCAGGCTCAGGCCTTGAGAGGACAGTGGGGCCAGGCCAGGCTGGTGGGGGCCATTCTGGGGCCCACGGGAGCCCCAGTGCTGCTTCTCTGTCAGGGCTCTGTCGTTTCTGTAGCTAATGCTCTGATCACAGGAAAAATAAAACAAGTCTGTTCCCTTAAAAAAACCTCAGAAGGAAAAGAGGCCAGGAAGGGGCCGCGGTGCACAGCTGTGTGTCGGGAGTCTCGGAGCCTGGGCGCTGGTTCTCTGCGAGAAGTGATGTCAAAACAAAGCCCTCCCCTTCCCTGGACCTTCTAGACATTACAGCGAAGAGAAAAAAGAAAGCGCGTGGCCCTTCCTCCGAGGGCAGCAGCTGGGTCAGGAGCCGGCGTCTGCGGCGAGCCTGGGGTTCACTGTGTGTGGGGTGGCCGCAGCAGGAGCCCGGTGCCACTATCTGACGCGCTTCTCCACCGAGTACACGGAGATGTAGTAATCGTTGCTTCCCACGGCCAGGTGGGGCTGTGGGGCGAGAGAGCAGACATGAGTAGGGGCATGAGTAGGGGCCACAGGCTACAGCCGGCAAGGTCATTCCCGCAGCCTACCTCTGCACTGAGAGGGCTCGGGAAGGCGGCCTGTGAACTGCCAGGTGTTGGCAGGATGGGGCGTTGCCCGTACGCCAAGCACAGGCAGAGCGTGCATTACCCACAGGGCCCTGCTGGCACTTGGGCAGAGCTGTAGGCAGGCTCCAGTGGAACCCCGCACTGCAAGGAGCAGGCTGGCAGGTCCTAACTTGAAAACACGACCGCCTACGGCCCAGGGGCAGAGTGAGTGGACAGGCCTGTATCACACAGACTGCTGCCTCACCAGGAGGAGCATGCCTGAAACTTTCTGCTGGAGTTTCCCCTGATGGCATGTGTACAGGGACCAGAGGACACTGCTGCTGGCCCTCTGCTCCTCATGTGTTCTGGAGACTAGGAAGGGAAGGCCCAAGGCTTGTGGGTCACTCAGGTGGCCCTGTCCCCTACCCCCACTGCCCCCACCCTGGTGTGAGGGCACAGACCCAGTGTGGGTGGAAGGCCAGGCAGCTGATGGCCCCGACTCGCTGGCCCATGAACCCGTCGTAGTACTTGATGTTGTTGATGAGTTCGCCGTTTCCGTTGTAGATGGCGGTGAACTGGTTCATGGAGCCGCTGCAGCAGGAGGAGGAGGAGAGAGGTTCAACAGTTATGTCCCTCTCCTTTGGGCTGGGAGACAGAACGGCCCCCAGAAGAATGGCTTAGGGACAGGCCAGCTAGGGATGGGGCTGGTGTGGTGGTGGGGACAGGCCAGGAAGTTGGCCCAGGGTCCCCAGGCAGAGAATGGCAACTTGTCTGGATGCCCTCAAGTGAGGATGCAGGCCTCCATCCCTGGAGACCCCTCAAGAGTGTTCTGGGAGAGATGCGGCAGGGAAGAGGCCTGTTCTCAGTTCACGATGGTACTTTAATCTTCCACCCCATCTTTCTCCAAAAGGCACGTGGCAGGGCTGGGGAAAGGTGGCATGGTGGAGAGGGGGCTGCGGGAGAGGCAGCACCTACCATGCGATGAGGTTTGCCTGGGGGTGGATGTCCAGGGACGTCAGCCCCTTCACAATCTGTAGCACATTCACAGACTCAGGCATCCGGGGATCAAAGAAGCGCACATCTCCATTGACACTGCAAGAGAGGGCCGCAGTGAGGCCTGCGGGCCAGGCCTGGGGATGCCCTGCTTGTGCCCTGGCTGGAGGATGATGGCCCCGGACATGTGCAGTCTGACACCCACTTGCACCCGCTACTGGAAGCCAAAGCTGCCAGGGCGTGCTGTGCTCTGGTGCTGGGCCCAGCGGCCAGGCCCTCACTAAGCTCTCCCAGAGCAGAGAAGGGTCGCTTGTGATGCCTAGGGCCACTGCTGAGCCTGCTGCAAAGCAGGACACCCATGGGGGATGGGAATGGCTGTAAGTCAAGGTGCAAAGGAGTGAGCTACTGGTCACCAAGATCAGATTTTGGGCCACTGGGGGCCAGGGTGGTGGGAGATGGAGCTGGGTGGGGTCACACTGCCTGCAAGGAGGGCCCTGCCTTCCACCTCTGCAGGTGTCCCTCCCAAGAGCGGGGTTTTGTCTTTATATCACAAACAAGGAAGAGAGGGCATCTCTTTGAAAGAATGGAGGCTTTGTGACAGTAAATCACACTCTGGTGTCCCTTTAACGGGCAAATAAGTATTCGCTGCTCTCAGCACAGTATTTACCGAACAGCAGAACTGAATTTATGCACAGACAGTGATGCGTGGCAGCGGGCAGCGGCAGTCCTGCTGGCCACGTGCCTGCAACAGCATGTGGCCCTGCTGCCTGTGGGGAGGAAGGGGGCCATGCCCCCCAGGGCTCCTTTCTGCTTGGCAGGTGTCTGACCACCCTCTGGCTCTGCACCCTGACCTTCCTGGCCAGTCCCAGTGCCGGAGTCAATTTCTGCCCTGAAATGCCAGCATCCCTGTTTAAACACCAAGGACGTCTTTAAACGGAGGAAAAATAATGTTTTAACAGCAGGACGTCTCGTGACTATCCCACGTTACCTCACGCTCACGATGTGGCCCTCGGGGTGCTTCTGCAGGTGGGCCTTCACCACCCAGGCTGTGTGCTCCCGGTAGGTCATGACGCGGCTGCAAGGAGGAAGGCGTGGTCAGGCAGTGCTGGGCAGGGCCAGGCTCAGCTCCTCTCCCAGGCCACTCAGGGCTCTGGGCGGACAGCCGTGCTGGCTCCACAACAGGAGGCCACATTATGTGGCCTTGAGTCAAGAAAAAGGAAGCATTTGTGGAGAGTGTTGAGCTGCCTCTGCTGCGGGGCCCCAAGTAGCCCTGCCCATGCGGGGACATAGCCTTTTCCTGAGTCCTACTCTAGTGGGCACCTACTGTGCCCTCCTTGGGCTGGCTTTTGGCCCTGGGCCACTCTCAGGCCCACACTGACACCACGCTGTGTCATACTCCCAGGCCCCATCACTGGTCACTAATGTTGCCCATCTGTGTTAATAGGCGCATCGGGAGTGTGAACCCCAGCCTTAAAAGCCCTAAAGCTGTCCAGGGGCCCTCTGGGGTTAATGACCAGGAGCCCAGGTGGGAGCTGCTGGCTGTATGGACCAGGGCTCCCAGGGGCCTGCAATGCCTGGCAGGAGCTCTCAGGACCCCTCACATACTACCCACAGGGAGGGTACCAGCTGGTCTCCACCCCTAGGCCTCAGAAGCAGCAGGGTCAGGCCTGCTTGGGGTTCCCCACTCAGCCCAGCTTTCCAAGACCCCTGTGTCCCTGCCTGCTGGAGCTTGGGGACCAGCGGCTAGGGCCTGTGGGCTGCCCACTGCTGCCCTGCAGCTTGGGAAGTGGAAGCACGCCTCTCCTCTCCTGCTGCCTCCTGCCACAGTCTAGAGAGCTCTCTGAGCCATCCTTACACCCGGGAGCCACTGCCCCATCTTGGGGGGAGACTGACCCTATGCAAGATGTAAACAGCAACATTCTCAAATGCCTGGGGAGGGCCGAGGGGCCTGGCAGGAGGGGCTGCAGGGTAAGGCCAGGAAGGGACACTGCTGTGAGGCGGATGC